ACAGAAACTAATAAGTGAGATAATAAATCCAAAGAAATGAGGAAAAAGAGAACAGAGATAAGAGCTAACGTCAATGAAAGAGAGAACAGAAATCAATATCAAGGATTAGTGAAGCAAAAATAGGTTCTTTGAAATGACTAATGAGATGACCAACCTGATGAGACTGGTCAATAGACTGCACAGAGTGTGAAGGAGAGAGAGACCCCAAACCCAGGAAAGTTAAGAGACAGGTTTAAAAATAAAAACTACAGACAAACATGTAGGAATACATTTGAAATCCACAAGGAAATGGGTTTATTTCTACCAAGGATATAAAGTGCTAAAGTGGACACAAGAAGAAATGGAAAACTTAAGTAGATGATAAGATTTAAAGATGTTGAAATGGCAGTACAAGGTCCCCTCCAGCAGATGCCCTTGGTGCAGGACGGGGCTGGAGCGGAAGGCACAGACAGCTGGAGGGCTGCAGGGCCCATCATGCTGATAGACCAGGGGCCAGGCTCCCAAGCTTCTCGAGGTCAGACCTCACCGAGCAGCTACTTGGCTTCTCTCATCCTCTCTTCCCCTGCCTGTCTACGGGGGAAAGGGCACACCCCACCCACGCCTGCTTGGAGACTTCTCACCAAAAATTAAGGTGTTCACGGCCGTCCTCCGTCAGGAGAGAGACACTGCCTATACACCAGGGGCCTGGGTGCCCTCCTGTCCTGACCCCTGCTCCCCAAGCAGCCACTGTCCTGACTTCTGATGCTGCAGATTCAGTCACAGTGCTCCCCGCGTCTTCCCAGCCGTGTGGGTGAGCTTCCTCAGGCCTGTTGCTACGGCACCACCTGTCCATCTCTGCACCACGCAGTCCACTGGACAGAGCCTGCTCCCCCTGTTCATCCATCCTTCTGTTTATGGGTGCTTCAAGCCCCCAGGTTTTTGACAAGTGACATGGTGTGATCATGCGTACGCATAGTTGACCTTTATTTTCTTGTGGAATCTGTATTTGTGATTTGCCTGCTTTCTGAAATTTACTTGTACCCCCACATCATTTTGCCCACAGTTTCCATTGCCAGTCACAGAACAGTGCAGACTGGCAAAAGGAGTTCACGCCTCCCGATGTGCCTTTTACCAGGAGGCTGTGCCTTGTCTCAGCTCTCAGACTGGAAATAGGCGTCCTTTTGGCCTCCACCCAGGGACACATCTTTCTCAGTTTTGTGGCTCTTGTCAGTGTTTCTAAGATGGCCTCAAAGCTGTGTGCTTAAAAGCCAGCTGGTGCCCCTGAGCTCAGGAGGCTGTGACGCACCCACAGAGCAGCTCTGCGTGGAGAAGGCTTTGCTCTGCTGCGATTAGGTCCCGTCACTGTTGGTTCCGTGTCGATGGATCAAAGTCTTTATGAAATGAGCTGCCTTTGGAGAGAATCACAACTGGTTACGTACTACTGACTGGTGACGGAGGGAGGGAGCAGAGGCCTGTGGGAACAGGACCCAGAATTCCTGGAGGTTTGGTGCTTTGTGTTTGCTACTTCAGGTCTGTGTTGGCTTCACGTAGTGTGACAACCATGAATAACGAGAACTGGCGGCACACGCCTGTTGTGGAGGATAGACCTGGAGGTTGAGCGGCTGGCCGGATGATTGACGCATGTTCCGGGTCGGCAGATCTCAGATCTCAAAAGCTTGTCATCCGTGCACACACTCCCCAGGAGCCAGGAGTCCTCATGGCCCACCTTCTCCAACGCCTGGTACTGCGACATGCCGCATGCGTTACCCTGGCTTAACGTGCCTTTTCCTGACGATCAGTGGTGTTGGAGTGTCTTTCCATGAGCTTTGGGCTGGTTACTCAGATGCCCTCTTCTGCTAAATGCCTGGTGACCAGTGTTTGTTCCCTGATTTATTGGGTTTTCCATCTGTTCTCATGACTTGTGGGATTCCCGTGTTCTGGATCTGTGTGTTGGTGTCTGTTGCATGACACATAATTTCTCCCGTGCCATGGTTTATCATTTCATTCTCTTAACCATGTTTTTTCCCTTGACATAGAGTGTATCTGACATATCACTCATGCATGGAGTGAGACTGGCCCTTCTTGTGGCTGTACGTGGTGTGGCGTTTCATTGGCTGTGTATTCATAGGTGACACAGGAAGGTTCTGATTCATCCCACTGTCTTCCCCATTCCCTCCCCTCTCTTCCCTTCATTCCCCTTTGTCTAATCCAGTGAGCATCTATTCTTATCCCCCTTAACCATGTTTTTTAATCAATATGAGTTCTTACTATCAATGAGACAAACTTTACCCATTGGTTTACGGTTAGTGCATTTTATACTGTTATATCATCTTTTTATTCTGCCTAGTGTGAACTCATAATATCATCCTGTTACTTTCTAGGAGTCTCACTAGTCTACCTTCCACATTCAACCTACAATCCATCCAGAATCGACGATTGTGAGCCAGTGATCAGTCTTTCTCTAGAGATAATATTTATTTCTAGAGATAATAGACTGTCCTTTCCCAGGCACAGCCCTCCCCCCCCTCGGCCTTTCGTTCTCATTCCTGCACTTACAGCCTGCTTGTTTCCCGGTATTTAATGTCTGCTTCCTGTGAGCAGCATGTAACCTGACTCTGATTTTTTTATCAGGGTTAAAATCTTTGCCTCTTCAATGCGGCACTTGTCTGTCTGTCCTTAATGTGTACTTGGGCATATGCCTCTCTATATTGCTGTTTCCCATGTGTACCACATTTATTCAGTTCTCCTTTATGGCTCTTGTTAAAACTATACTTTGTCAATTCAGTATTTTTAATTTTTAAAAATTCCTCCCATTTTAGCTAGCCAGCTATGTGTTCCTTTAGCACCTGTGGTTTGTTTGTTTGTTTGTTTTTTTTTTTTGACTGCCCTAAAGAGTTCAATATGAATCCTTGACTTTTTAGTTAAATATAAACCAGGATTTTCTTGCTCCTGGACAGTGCAAGGCCCTGAGAACATTGCTGTTCCTTTCACGTCCTGCTCCTGTGAGCTGGTGGTCATGTGCCTTAATTCCACACGGGTGGACCACTAACGAGGGTGTCCCTTCTTAGCTCCCCTGTGCCTTTCCCTGCTGGACTCTCGGCCTCATTCCTAGCCGGGATCATGTCCTGTGTAATGAGCATAGTACTGATGGATTCTCTCAGTTTCTGTTCATCTGAAAATGTCTTAACTTTACTTTTACTGTTGAGGAAAGTTAAAACTAACTGTATGCTCCTAGATGGGCAATTAGTTCTTGCCATATTTGAAGGATGTGGTTTGGCTGTGTTCTGGCTTCTGCCCTTTGTCACCCACATTTTGGTTCCTGTGGAGCTGCTGGGTGGCACTCTGCCCTGAGGGCCACCAGTTCCGCTGTGACCAGCCGCGTGTGTTCTTCCTTGGACTTTTTCCTGAGTGGTAGAGCCGTGCTTCCTGAACTTGTGGTTTCTTGCCCCTTGTCAATACTCAAAACTTCTTGGCTGACAGATCTTCTAATACAGTTTCTGCCTCACTCTTTCTTTTTCCTTCCGATTTCATCCTTCATGGACATGGGCTTTAAAATAGTGATGATTTGAAATGTTGAAGAAAACAGAGGGCTGAGCTGTAGCTCAGCGGTTGAGTGCCCACCTGGCACGTACACAGCCCGGGTCTGATCCCCAGCACAGCAGAAAAAAGGAATATAGAGGACATATTGGAGAATTTCAACCGAGAACTGGAATATATTAAGAAATCACACTGAAAAGTAACTGAAATTCAGAACACAGTAAATGGATCAGCAGAACAGACACAGTAGAAGGAAGGATTATTAAATAGAACACAGGTCTGTAGAAAATATCTATCAGGAAGCTGAATGGATGGATGAAAGATGAATTTTTTATTTAAGATCCCAGGTTCTTGCTTTGCATGAGAGGTAAGACTTTCTGCGTTGCTGGGCCGCGTTCCTGAGCGGCTGTATGTGACCTGTGAGGCTCTGGCCCTCCTACTGCATGATCACTCCTCCTCTCAGGCTCCCCAAGGGCTGCCGAGGGTGCTGCGGTGCCTGCCCTGCTCTGCTCTCTGTGCAAAGCCATCGTATCATTCTGTGGCCCTTGTCTGCTCCTGTCCACACTGAGTGTCGGGCACACCAGGAATTTGCTCTCCACCTGTGCTGATAGGGTCCAGCAATCAGGAACAGGGTGCATTTGTGTGTTGGTTGGCCTGGTGATGGGATGTGTGTGTTGGTGTGGTGGAGGGTGATGGGATGGTGGTGGGTGACTGGGTGTGGGTGTGCTGGTGAGGTGCTGGTGACAGTCTAGGTGTGGGCCAGTATAGATATAAGTGCCTGGTCTGGGGGTTGGGTAGCTGAGGACTATAGTCAGCTGGCTGGTGTTGAGAGCCACAGCCAAGTCGGAATGGCCCCTGGCATTTTGCCAGAAGTAATGGTTGAGAGGCGAGCCATTAAGATGATGATAATTAAGTTAAGCTGTGTCAATAGGGCAGCCCCCTGCTGCCTTGGGTGCCTGCTGCTTTGGAGCTCTCCCGGGGAATCCTGGAAAGTTCGCGTTGGTTGGTGAAGTTCCGGTGGGGAGTTCTGGTTGGTGTGTGGGGTGCTGGAGAGTTGCCGCATGGGTGGCGTTCGGGAGAGTTCCCGGGGAGTGTGCGTGGAGTGCTGTTGGAGTTCAGGCAATAAAGTTTCCTGTTTGAACATACAAGTGCTTTGTGGTGGCTCGGTGATTTGTGCCCACCAGACTGCGGCAGGCTGGAGCAGGGACGTTCAGGGACTGTGTGGGACTCCAGATACTTCTGGAGATGCAGATGGGACTCTGGGTGGCCTTACAGACAAGCAGCTAGGAAGGGCTGACACCTGTGTCCCAGCAGCTCGCTGTACATAGCCAGCCCCTCTGAGTCCTCTGGTTGAAGTGCCCCATCACCCTGTGAGGCTAGTTTGTCACATGCCCGCATGCCAAGTGACATTCATCCGGCCTGACAGGCCCAGATGTGTCAGGAGACAGCACTGACCTCATTTTTTTGCCTCTTCCCCATCCTAGCTGCGAGAATCCGCTGCTCCAGAAGGTGTGGGTGGCTGACTTGGAGGCTTGCCGGCTCCTGCTGCAGAGTCTGAAGCTCCAGGAGGCAGTGGGCAGCCCATGTGCAGAAGACAAGGGGCCGAGGGACGGCCTGAGCTGGGCCCAATCCGAGGAGCAGGGGAAGGCCCTGTGGCAGGCATCACCCGAATGGAGGGCTCACCACACCCCTGAGCTGCACTGCGCAGGAGAACAGAAAGAGGTTGGTCTTTTCCACGTGGCTTCTTGGGGCGCCTTTTGGGTGGTCAGTACTGGGTGGCTCCCATCAACCATGCAAACTTTAAGGTCTGAATAACTCTTTTTTTTTTTTTTTAAAGAGAGAGAGAGAGAGAATTTTTTAGTATTTTATTTTTTAGTTTTCTGCAGACACAACATCTTTGTTTTGTATGTGGTGCTGAGGATCGAACCCGGGCTGCATGCCTGCCAGGCGAGCGCGCTACCGCTTGAGCCACATCCCCAGCCCAAATAACTCTTGAATATGAGTTTAAAAAATGCCATTTTTTTTTGGTAGAAGTATTATAGAGAGACAGAGAAAATTTTTTAGCTATTAGTTTTATTTTTATTCTAACTTAGAGTCAAATATAGTGACTCTACAGGTGTTCTATGTGCTTACGTGTAATTCTACGCACACATGGTGTTCACCACGAGGTTTTCCGCCCAGCTCCTGTGCGAGCTCCTCTGCTACCCAGCTGGCAGGCAGAACCTCCTGTCGCCTGAGTGAGCAGCAGAGGCAGGTCCTCAGAGGCCAGGTGGCAAGCTTGGGAAGGGACGCTGCAGTGGGCACTGGCCATAGGGAACGCACTGTGGAGGACGCTGAAGCAGGAGGCCCCTAAAGGCTAAATGAGGAGCCAAACAGGGACGGACAGTCCAGCAATCCTGGGCCACAGGGCCTGTCGCAGGGTGGTGCCATCCAAGGTGGAACAGGACGTCGTCACAGATGTCCTTGCACAGGCTCTGGCGCCCTGTGTAGTAGCTCTGGTTGGCAGCCATGTGTCCTTTGTGACCTTTCAGCTGTGAGTGTTTTTAGGGCTTGACACAGCAGCTCAGATTTGATCCTGGCCACCTCCCATTCCCAGGCTGGGCCTCCTGAGCTCAAGGCAGAGGGGTTGAAAACCTGTCCCTGCTGCGGGTGGCTTGGGAGAATGTTCCCGTGTGAGGGAAGCACCACCTGAGCATGGGTGTGGGGCCCTGGGTGACGAGCTGTAGGCCCTGGCCGTGTCCTTGAAGGCAGGGCTGGCTGCCCAAGGTGACTGTGTCAGTAGCTTCTGTCACGTCTACAAAGCTGAGACCATCTCTTGCTGAGAAAAAAGGCTGTCTCTGGCCCGTGGCTTGGAGGCTTCAGTCATGGTCATGGGCCCGATGCTTGGGGCCTGTGGTGGCCATCACAGCAGAACCACTTGACAGAGCAGAGCCATTTACTGTGTGGTTTGGAGCAGAAAAGAGCTGTCCTTGGAGGGTGCACCCCGAGGACCTAAGGCCTCTCCCAAGGCCCCATACGTTTCCACCCTCTCCCAACAGTGCCGTGCTGGGGGCGAGCCTTCAACCCCGGGGCCTTTGGGGGACTCTGAGAGCTGCATGGTGGCAGGTCCCAGGAGGAGCACGGCGCTGCGTGGAGGGGGCCATACCAGTTAGGGAGGGGTCTCCTGGGCCAGGGCCACCCAGACACAGCAGAGGATGCCTGTCAGGAGTGCCCTGCTGCCCGCTCCTCTTGGAGCCATTCAAAGTCTGCCCTGAGGCACCTGTAATAAGAGGGACGGCAGCAGAAAGCACATAGAGTGAGTCCTCAGTGACCCAGGCCTTCAGAAAGGCAGAGCCAAGGACACAAGCAGCCTTCGTGCCCACCCACTGACCACGGACTGGGAGGGGGCAGTGGAGGACTGTGATGGGTCAGCGGGTGAGGACCAAGGCTCATGGCCTGGGGTCCTCGTGAGGCCTGTTCAGGTCCCTGTGTCCCCTACCTTCTGACACGAGGCTGTTCCTTCCCTCCAGGTGGAGGGAGGGTCTTAGGGCCTGCTTCAAAGGCAGGTGGGGGATGCTGTGCCCTGCCCCAGGTGACAGGGCAGAGCAGGCTTGGGAGACCTCCTGCTCTGTGGCTGCCTCTGGGGCCAAAGGGCTGAGCTTTGGGCTGGTATGTCCTGAAGCCTCCTTCCCTCTCCCTCCTCCGTGGTCTCACCCTTCAGCTTCTCTGATGGCTTTCCCAAGTGTGGAGGGGTTGGTCTCCATCCAGCAGATCAGAAGCACCTACCAACTTCAGTCTTTGGCTGTGGGAAACAGCTGTTTGCTGGAAAGTATAAAACCCCAGGTCCAGGACGAAGAGGAGAAGGGTCGCATCACAGAACGCCTGCCTTCTTGCCTGATGGCAGGTCCTGCAGCGGCTGTCCTCCAAGCTTCAGCCCTCTGGACCCTCCCCCCCACTGACCAGGTGCCCCGTCAATTGCTTGTCACCTTTTTGGAGGGCCCTAGTGGGGGCCTCATCATCTTCTGCTCCTGTATTGCCATGGTGTGATTCCCCCTTATCTCCAGTTTTGCTTTCTAGGGTTTCTGTTACCTGTGGTCAAATGTGGTTGGAAAATGTTAAATGGGAAGTTCCTGGAATAACAATTGATGGGTTTTACATTGTGTGCTACTCTGAGCAGCATGAAGACATCTCCTGCCTTCCTGCTCTGGCCCACCTGGAATGTAAGCCATTTCTTTGTCCAGGGTATCCACACTATATGTGCTACCCACTCGTTAGTCACTGAGTAGCTAGGTCACAGTGCTTTGTTTTAGTAAACTTTATTTTCTTCATAATGGTTCCAAAGTACAGGAGTAGTGATGGAGGCAATTCAGATGTACCAAAGAGAAGCTGCAAAGTACTTCCTTTAAGTGAAAAAATAGAAGTTCTCCAACTAAGGAAAAAAAAAAAAAAAACTCACATGTGGAGGTTGCTAAAACCCCCAGGACAGCACGATATTTGGAGAGTGAGAGACCATTTCACACAACTTTGATTGCACTACGTTGTTATAATTATTCTATTTTATTAGTAATGCTTTTTGTTAATCTCTTTCTGTGCCTAATTTATAAATTAAACTTCGTCACAGGTGTGCATGTGTAGGAAGAGGCAGTGTGTACAAGGTGAGTGCCACCTTTGGTTTTGGATACACACTGGGGTCCTGGAGCGAATCCGCCCTGCGTGGGCCACGGTGCCCGCAGAGGGGCAGCCGTTCCTGGGAATTGTGAGTCCAGGTTCTCGAGATGGTGGATATTTTCTGGGAGGGGCAAGACTATGGGGCCAGGAAACAAATCCTTGTTGCCAGCGAGGGGAGGAGCTCGCTGGGAGCTGCAGGGAGGACGAGGAGCCCCTGTATCTTGTGGTGGGGTGACACGACTGTGTACATAGATAGGAATTTTTAATTTTACACCCCAAAGAGTGGATTTTACTGTGGGTGACTTTGCAGTAGTGACTAAGTTTTTAAAATGCCTTCCTACTCAAGATGAGAGCTGTAGAGGTCTGAATGGTGGCATGTGGCAGAAGACAGCGGCTGAGGTGGGCGCAGTGGCCCGCACCGCAGTCCCAGACCCTCTGTGGGCCCCGTGGGAGCACATGCCACAGTCCCAGACCCTCTGCAGGCCCCACGGAGGCACGCTGGGAGGCAGGAGTTCAGGGACAGCCTGGCCTCATGGCGAGACTCCGTCTCAGCAAAGACCAAAACAGAACAAGAGGCCTCTGCTCAGGTGCCAGATGGCCACTGGCAGCCTGGTGTCCTCTTCTGCTGAAACAGAGCAGAGCAGGAGATGGGCACCACCCCAGTCTCGGTCTGTGAGCTCAGGGAGCAGGTCTTGCTGGGCTCACTGTCTGGCAGTCACAGCGTCCCTGGAATATTTTCAAACGCTGCACATGCTTCTGTCAAGGAGCAGCAGTGGCCGGGGCAGTTAGTGGAGGCCCCCAGGGGAAGACACTTGGCATAGGGAAAGCCGTTTGTGCCACAGCCCAGGATGCTAGACCCCCGTGGCACAGACAAGAGAGGACCCAAGATCTCAGAGGCAGGCATTTTTTGTTTCCTGCCCTGGTTTCCAGGGAGTCTTTGGGGTCTGGGGAGGTGTATTATCTTGTGGCTAAAGTGGCTGCTGCCAGCTGAGGTCTGCCAGGAGGCCTGCTGGGCATGGCCACCCACACGGGTTCCCCAGTGGAGCGCGACACCCATTGGGCAGTCAGTCTCTTTCTGATGCAGATCTTCCAGGAGAGACTGCTGGCTCCTTACAGAGGTCTGCAGGGAGATGGGTTTCGAGCCTCCCCTGAGTGTGGCTGGCCAAGGGGAGGGTGTGCACTGTGGTGGGACTTTGTTTCTGCGGGAGCTTTGCTGTGGACTAACACCTTGGCATTGGGGGTCCCTGCCAGGCTGCTCGGCACCAGCCCCCCATCTTACAGCAGGGCTGTGAAGGCCTGGTAATTTGCATGGGGCTCTGTCTCAGAGGAGGTCAGCAGGGGCTCGGGCCCACTACAGCTGTGCCTTGTCGACTTGTAAGAGCCCTTCCTCTCATCTCAGCTTCCTCGGTTTCTGGGGACCCTGGAAACCATTGGCTGCTGTCAGCCTGGTTATGGATGCTCCAGGAGTCGCACGGGGCCAGACAGAGGCTGGGAAGCCGGTGGGCAGCTCCCCCGCTGCGAAGCTCTTCTCTTGTACACGCTGTTCTGGCCGCGATACCGGTGTCACTCTCTCTGCCATCTGCAGCCTGTGCTGCCTGGGTGCTTTCTGTTTCTGCCCCATGATGGGCTCCCCTCCTGCAGGGTCCCTGGGCAGCACCACCCCTCACATCCCAGCTGCTTCCTCTCTGAGCCAGTAGCTGCCTCCACGAAGGTGAAAGAAAAGAGGCCAAGAGAGGAGCTGGCAGCTTCCAGCCACCTCCTGTGGTGTCTGAGCAGCCAGAGGATCCAGCAACAAGGCTCACTAGACACGGCAGCCTTACTTGTCAGATTTAAGTCCCCCGAGCATGTAGGTCTGGGAGGGGAAAGGTGTGATCCCCTCCTGGCCCACCCTCAGCGTCATGGCCAGCTGTCCAAACGCAAGACGGGTAGACAGAGGAAGCAACAGGTTGATAGATTGACACTGTGTGACAGGGGAGCCTAGAGAAACGAGGACCAGGGACTCAGGGAGAACCGCTCTGTGCTGGGGTTGATGGGCAGCCGTGTAGTGTGGTGGCCAAGGGGTCACCTAAGGTCCC